TCCGCTCCTTCTCTCCCTCTTACCTCGTTCCTTTTTTCTATATTTCTTAATTTACTCACATATCTTTTCTATTCTCTTTTTTATCTTTTTCTTTCGCTTATTCTCATCTATACTTTTCGCTATACTATGTTCATTGAGCGTTTTCTTTTTTAGTAAGTATATAGTTATAAGATATTGATATAGCTTTCTATCTACTGTTTGTGCCTGACTTCCCCAGAGCGAGAGAGACTGTGCGATTGAGAGATAGAGAGAGTGATAGAGTGAGAGAGAGAGAGAGAGAGAGAGAGAGAGAGAGAGAGAGAGAGAGAGAGAGAGAGACAGAGAGAGAGAGAGAGAGAGAGAGAGAGAGAGAGAGAGAGAGAGAGAGAGAGAGAGAGAGAGAGAGAGAGAGAGAGAGAGAGAGAGAGAGAGAGAGAGACAGAGAGAGAGAGAGAGAGAGACAGAGAGAGAGAGAGAGACAGAGAGAGAGAGAGACAGAGAGAGAGAGAGAGAGAGAGAGACAGAGAGAGAGACAGAGAGAGAGACAGAGAGAGAGACAGAGAGACAGAGTGTGTGTGTGTGTGAGTATGCAGAGGTGTTTGTGTTTGCAAAAGCAACGGCGAGTGTAAGGGCAACGCCAGAAGCGCATGAATGGTAACATTGAAGACAAGCGCGTGTGACTGTCAATCCAAACACATATATGCACACAGAATGTGCATTTGCCACCTTTGCTCCGGCGACGGTCCAGTGTCCGTGGACGAGAATGCGGCGCGGGGGATTGAGGCCTGCAGCGAGCAGAAACGCCGGCCAGTACACGGCATGGAACCTGATTGCATCGCGCAAGCATGGTCCATGATGGGGAGCAGGGTAAGCGTGAAGGATGGGTTTGTGTTAGCGCATGAGCGTGCGTTGTGAGCGCGTGTGTTTGTGTTGTGTTGTGGCTCTTGTGTTGGTGAGGAATCGTGAGCACGACTCAAGTGCGACACATTGCTTCTCAAAATTTGCGTGGACCGACTTTAGAATGTCTTTGCCGATGACGTGTGTGTCCAAGGTGCCGGTGAGCTGGTCCGGGTATCCGAGTGCAGTGAGGTAGTTCACGAGCGCGTCCATCCATACATAGATCTGCGGTGTCGGTGTTTGGATATGAATGCGTTGTTGTGTTGGCGAAATTGTGGCGACATGCATAAAATACAGACGTTGACAAGCAAACACGCACCCACACACCCGCACACACACACCCGCACACAGACAGACAGACAGACACACACACATACATACACGCACGCGCACACAGACATACAAGAACGAGAAAGTTCAAGTGTGGTTGCCCTCCCACTCCTCACATGCACCCGCGTACAGCCACCATCTGACCGTGTGGTTTTCATTGGTTGGGACGGGGATGCCCCATGCGAGGCTGCTGCGGAGCCTTGACACAGAGAGGTCGGGCAGATCTGCATCGTCAAGGAAGGACAGGACCTGATGCCGGTACACGCTTGGGTACACGGCTGTGGGGGGAGAGAATGGGGGGGGGAAGAGCAAGATGGCATGCGTGGGTGTGGGGGAGTGCTCAGTGTGGGTTGATGTTCGAGTGGGCGGATTGACTGTTCAGTCCAAGGGTGAACCTGAGCACTGTTTAGGCGGGGCCATGGTGGTGTTGCGCTTACTTGTTGGGCTGGAGAGCAGCCACTCGCGCACTTTGCCCTTCATGGCGTTGAGATTAAACATGTAGTTGTCCTCCGTGTACTCCTCCACAGCACTCCCCGTCTCCACGGCCCGCTACCACACACATGTGTGATGTGTGATGTGTGTATGTGTGTTGTGTTGTGGTGTGTTATTGGTGCGTGTTGTGGTTGTGGTGTGTTGCGTGTGTGTGTGTGAAAGTGAGCGAGCGCGTGTGTGCCGAGCAAGCCACGGAAGATCGCTGCCCACTGGGCGGTTGAGCATGGGCACTGCATATTATGGCATCTTACCATGTTGGCTGGGTTCCCTGGGTCTGGCTCCACCTGATGTGCGGAGTAGAATGCCTCGTCGACGACCGAGTACCAGCCTTTGTACTTGCCGAGACGAATGTGGCCTTTGCTCTCAATGGTTCGCTACAGGGAATGGTGGGGGTGCCAGTGCAGGTTGTGGTCATTGATTCCGCTCAACACAGCACACGTACACAGCACACACACGCACGCACACACACGTACACAGCACACACACGCACGCACACACTGCGCGTGGGTGCATGGGCTTACCCAAAACTGGTCGACCGCTCGCTTGTGTTCAGGGCTTGTGGTCCGGATGAAGCGGGACGGCTGCACGTTGCACACGCCATTCATCGCCTTGCAACATACACATGGAGCGTAACGGTGGACAGTACACAATTCAACCACCGACGCATACCCACGTGATAACTGACAGGCAAATCCACACACACACACACTTGCACACACACACACACACACTTGCACACACACACACACACACTTGCACACACACACACACACACACACACACACACACACACTTGCACACACACACACACACACACACACACACACACACACACACTGGCTCTTGCTCACCCTGAAGCTTTGGGACACTCGATCGCAAAATTGCTGCGGCTCCAGGTTTGCTTTTGAAGCAGCAGCCTCCACCTGGGAGAGAACAAAGCAGCAAATTGAAAGGGGTGAAAGGTGGCCAAGTTAGACTGATGACAGAGGGGGAGAAAGAGAGAGAAAGTGTGTGTGTGTGTGAGGATGAGCGGAAAACAGCAGGAGCAGCAGCAGAACAGCGGTGGCAGTGCTTGTGAACCTTTTGGCCATGTTCATCTGTTCCCGTTGTGAAGAGAATCTACGCAGGGGCCGGATGCAGCGCGTGTCATCGTGAGAGTGGAATTGAGACCGACACGCGTGCATGAGTTGCACCTGGCGTCCTGAATTTGAATAAAACACACACACACACACACACACACAAGCACACACACACACACAAGCACACA